TTGCAGCGCTGTGTTTGAGTTATGGGGGCTGAAGGCCTTCAAAAGTGCAGCGGGAGGAAGAGGAAGATGGCTTAATACAGTACATGCATCAGCCCCGAACGGATAAGTGCGCTTGGACGTGTAATCGTGACTGCCAGAAAATGGGCCTCCCAGTAATTAAGAATAAATGAAATTGCTTATCAATTAGTAAGCGACTGCATACACCATTTGGCTGTGTTCTCAGGGATTAATCAGGGAACCATTGACATTACATTGTTCCATAATTATCATTCATACGTTTTATGGTAATTGGAGAATTTTTCATGGAGGAATTACAATGTCTCGGAAACACCAGGCAATATTAACACTCTCAAATATAAACATTAATTAATTTCAGAGCAAAAGAGGAAGGAGATTGATTGTTGGCATGGAAATAGAAAAGCGTTGACTCTCAAACAATGACTGTAAACAACATTAATGAACTGAAGCCATGATGAGAGAATATCCATCACGCTGATAATTGATAATAAGGCATAAAAAGACGCTGTGGAAAAGCACATGCATAAAGAACATATGCTGGTCTCAGAGGGGAGGTGAAGAGCCTTGAACGACCGAAACACTGAAAACCTCTCAGTCTCAATCAAGCGGAAACATGAATATGAAAACTGACTATATTAACCAGTTTTGCCCCAACTTGATCAAACTCACCTGCCTGTAACATTCTAGTAATCTTCAAGACCTTGATCAACTGGTTCAGCAGTGTTTGATCGCAGATGAACTCTTCAGGCCCTCCAGGGCCAGAGTTGAGGAACCCTGACATAAAACACGGATTTGGGAGGAGCTTATTCGTCTAATCCTGTCAATCAAACAGCTGCCTGCATCCCTCCATCATCCAGACACCACCTTTATTTCTGTCCTCGTTATCCTTTCTATCTACACACTATATGAGCAGGTAAACTAGTGAATTGTCACCTCCACACTCTTAAAAATATAGGTTCCAAAAGAGTTTTAAATTTTTTTTTCAGGGATGGCATAGAAGAACCATTTTTGGTTCCCCAAAGAACCTTTCAGTCACCAGTTCTTAAGAGAATAATTTCTTAGTACGAAGAGCATTTTAATAATCAAAAAAATATTTTTCCATTATAAAGAGCTTTTTGTGCAAATGGATGTTAAATGTTCGTCATGGAACCATTAATGCCAGTAAGAACCTTCATATTTATACAAAGAGTTGTGTCCTGAAGTTACTGCATCCAGAAGAAGGCAAATGTTATGGCACATTGATCTGGTACCGTGTGTGTGTGTAATTCTCGAGGTGACCTCAAACTCAAGTCAAGGTCAAGCTCAATCCTCACACACTTGGGCACGTTACCCACGGGTCACTCGGAGGTTCCTCACAACAGACCCGAGTCACAGCGCTCGGCCAGACCGTATTGGCACAAGGTTTAATGAGGTAATTAGTCAAAGGCCATGTTGACCCTGAGAGGGTAATACCTGTGAACTTTTACCCCTGGCTCCTAACACATCTCCAGGGAGCTCGGGACGTGTGGCATAAAGGTCGGCGCAGGCACCTGCAGGCAGAGCCGCCCGGCTTCACACGCTTTCTAAGTGAGGATGACATCCCGGCAGTCACACTCCATTCCTGCTGGGTCCGAGCTGATTGGTCATTAGGAGCGCCAGAGGTCTGACACTCGGCCACGAGTTTCATGCCTTCACCTGTGAGAGACTTGTGAGCAGTGAGGGAAAGCTTTGTGTCCGGATCCATCATGAATCGAGGGCTCTCCAGTTGTGAGGACTCAACTAACCGCATTCGGCTCAATTAAGCAGCTCCAAGACAATAGATATTGTAAAAAGTTGCACCTCGGCCCTCGTGTCGCTGTCATTACAGAGAAAAAGAGACAGAATTAACCCTCGCTGCTTCCCTGCATTGATCCCGGGCTTTTATGGTGTCCCTGGAGCGTGGCAGACAATTACAGATATTATTACATCTGCATTGATTTCTTTAAGAGAGCCCAGCGTCTCAAAGCAATTTGAAAACATTACAGTTCGGAAGTGGGCCAATTAAAATGCCCCGGGGCCCAGTGGGGGACATTCAGTCCTCACAACTGTCAGAATGTCACTGTGTTCTCACCTTATGGCGATCAGACGCACACACACTCACACACACACACACACACACACACACACACACGCACACACACACACACACACACACACACACACACACACACACACACACACACACACACACACTCACACACACGCACACTCGCGCACACGCGCACACACACTCACACACTCACGCACACGCACACGCACACGCACACGCACACGCACACACACTCACACAAACGTTGAGTTTCCTTGTTTTATGGGTTCATTCCATAGATGTAATGGTTTTTCTACTGTACAAACGGTATTTTCTATCCCTTTACCCTAAACCTACCCCTCACACAAAACTACAGGCATTATTAGATTTTCAAAAAACTTCACAATCATGGCAGCATGTTCATTTTTGGGTGATTTGTGAGCTACATTGCTGTGGATGAACTTGAGTCAAGTGAGAACACGGTTCATGATCAGTCTTGATTATTAATCTAAAAATTAGACAAATGTCAAACCCTTAGACAATCATTTTCTGCTCATTTTAGCTGAACAGTAAGAGTTTTCAGGATCTTGGCTTTAGTTTAACATCTGCTGTGTAAGAACAATGAGAAAATTTGATATTTGGTCTCTGGTGTTTAAACATGGAGGAATGTTAACTATAACTGAGAGGTGACAGGCTTATTTTAGTTAAATCAAATGGGCTGCTGATTTAAGAAACAATGAAAGGAGTGTCAGTGGTGATAACAGACACAGCAGTGAACGCCCGCTTCCACCAAAACCACTTCTGCCTTTATTTTCTCCATAGGAATTTTCAGAAAGAAATATTCTACAGTAAAGACCAAACAAACCAACTGTGAAACAAAACAAAACGTAACACAATTCATTTTTGTGATCTGACTTCTGGAATGACTATGATGGAAGTACTCATCCCATGAAGCACTGAATCTGAAGCAACAGTTCAATATAAAACTATTGACTTACAATATTAAAGCTATATTTTTGAAGTGTATTGAGAGTGTATCAGAAACGGACTGGCTTTATGGGAGTGTGTTCGGTCGCCGCTGAGCTCCTGTACTGTTTCACTGGTGTGTGATTGGTGGATCTATGCTCAGGATTATGGGTAGTGTAGTTCTTCACCAGCAATTCAGCAATGCTGTTATTGTCTTTATTAATCACACTATTGAGTGATGGTATATGCTACTGTAAAAGCCATACATCACCCTCTGAACTCACTGTTTACACATTGCTAAAGTGTTTTTAATGGCCAAAAATCACTTTGGAGAATGGAGAAAATGAGCAGTATTTTTGCTGTTGTGCTTGTTTCTGAAGGAACTGTATTGTTCACCTCCTTCTTCTGATGTTGTTTTGCTGGCGGTTCAGTGTGATGGACTCTACACAGTCTGAGGAGCATTTCTCACTGATTATAAGAGTCCGTTAAGAACCAGCGCAGCTGCTCGTGTTATTTTCTTTGGCCTGGACGCTCGGCTTTCTCTCCCCAAACACACTGCGATGAAAAGCAGTTTACAGAATTAACCCATTAGCATCATGTGGTGCTCTCAGATGAGACACAACAGGCTTTGATTGAGACGATACAGCGTCATCAAAATAACATGAAGCGGCATTTAGACCAGCGATCGCTCTCCTCGCCATCTCCTTCCCTGCCTTCACTTTCTTTGTGAATTTCACAGAAGAGGAAGAAAATGCTAATTGCTGTTATGGAACCTTAACGGAATTAGCTGCGATAAGAGCTGGATGTGATAGCGCTGTGTAGTCTGGGCCGAGCGTGTGCTTCCTACTCGCCCGTATCAGCGGCGCACAGAAACAAAGCTCATTGTGAAGAACAGCAAAACACGGCGAGCTTCACCTCCGACGACTGCAGCCTGTGCTGATATGAGACGAGCTGTCACTGAAACAGACGGAAAAGCAGAATACACATTATCACTGTGACTGCGCAGAAGCGTTTTATTAATCCGTTAAGTGTCCAAATAAATTTACTTCTCCTGGATTGAAAATCAGTTTATGAAATACTAACCTAAACAACAACCCAACAAATGATGACGCTGTAAGCTGCTTACACCGCATTTGCGCATGCTAAAATAATTTCTGCTTCTCTGTTTTCGTGCCGATAATTATCCGGATTGTCACTTTTGGCCGGAGTATGTCGCTTGAGGGTTTCAGCTGCAGTTTGTAATCCAGGAAGAGAGGGAAAAGAGTTTTCAACACAGGAACACAATGCAAACGCCTGATTAAAGAGAAGCAACAGACAAATTAACCCGCTGTCACAGATATGAACTCTGTTGTGCATTTTATTTAGTTTCTGTCTTCTGTTCTGGTTTAGGTTCCTGTTTGCCCATATTTGGTTCTGTTCATGTTGTCATTAGTCAATGATCAGTTAACCCTCAGCACCTGTATGTCCCTCATTTACTGCCTTATTTAAGATATCTCCTTGGTGGTTTCACTTGCTGGTTATTATTGTTGTGAGTGCTTGTGTTCCCGGCTGTCGTGGATTAACCGTCATCGTCTGGAGATCTTATTAAAAGTCTATATTGTGTTATCTTCGTGCTCTTGACATAGGCATGACACCCTCATCTTTTGGAGATGATTTAATTTTTCCTGAAAATGCTAATTAATGTTTTCTGACTTCTCAAAAAATGTTGATAATTTTTGTACGTTTTTTTTTTTCTCCACCTTGCTGCACTTGTGGTGTTTCTGATCAAAAATGATCCGCCAACTAAAATTGCTTGTGAATCTCTCATTATGCTATATTGTTGCCAAATCATATTTTCTTTCAGTTAGCACAGGTTTTTGTATTTGTTTTTGGAGTTGATTGATCGCAGGTCTCATTGATCTGGACTTATACACCTCAGGTTTTGAGTGAACATTATCAAAATTACCTGCAAATAATGCTTTTTCCTCTCAAAAACTGAGGTGCGTAAGCTCAGATCAATGAGGCCTACGATCAATCGGCTCCAAAAAAGAAATGCAAAGTCTGTGCTAATTGAAAGAAAACAAGTAGACAAAAAGATTGCACGCAATATTTGGTATTAATATAGCATAACAACAAATTTACAAGCAATTTTTTAAAGGCAGGTCGTTTTTGACCAGGAACAGACCTGCAAATAATGCTTTTTCCTCTCAAAAACTGAGGTGCGTAAGCTCAGATCAATGAGGCCTACGATCAATCGGCTCCAAAAAAGAAATGCAAAGTCTGTGCTAATTGAAAGAAAACAAGTAGACAAAAAGATTGCACGCAATATTTGGTAGTAATATAGCATAACAACAGATTTACAAGCAATTTTTTAAAGGCAGGTCGTTTTTGACCAGGAACACCACATTGGGTGGAGGATTTTCAGCACAAGGGTTAAATAAATGCACAGTGTTTTGAGCTGCTATCAAAACCCTCGTATCTTTTTTAACCCCTCATTCTCTGACAAACACAAAGAGCTGCAGGTTCACGAGGTCAGATGGAGGAACTTTACATGCTGCATTGTTTTGGATGAGATAAATACTAATTGAAAGTGACCGTTGAATTAGGAGCCAAACAAACGGCTGACAGTTTTTAGTAAAATGCGCTGTCAGCTCAGATTTAAAAGCGTGGTGGAAGGTGAAGTTGAAGAGTCTGGATGTGTGAGAGCAGAAAGAGGAAGCTTCATTCGGCATGGGACGAGGCCGTCATGCTAATCAGTGAGCGCTGGACACAGTGTGACACATGCATTAGCAGACTGAGGCTTCACGAGGCCTGAGCGATCCTCTCAAACCTGCCATAATAAACGCCTGGGACTGAACTGCTGCTGTGAGTCAGAGACCAATGACAAAGAACATCAGATCACCCCACTACAACTATCAACCATTTCCCAAATCAAACTCATCCCAGAGCCTTATTCTGTATATGAAACACAAAAACAGAAGACCATAATAGTGATATCAAAGCAGTTCAGATGAATCAGGCTCTGTATTCTCAGTCTGTGAAGGACAGAGCACAGTTAAAGTTGTTATTCATTAATAATCGTCCCTTTAAACAAATAATAGCCTATGGGTTTGGACCAACATGAGAGAGATTAAATAATGACAGAATTTTCCTTAATGCATGAATTCTCCATTTAGATTATACACATGAAAATACTAGGTATGAGAGTAAAGTGACTATAAAATGTTTGCTTACTTTGCTTTTAGCAGTAGGTCTGATGTTTTTTTAATAAACAAACGAATAAATAAATAAATAGAGTAATTAATTAAATCTCAGACCCACTTTATATGTAACTACTTTAATGGACTTTTTTACATTGTAGTAATATTTTAAAAAATACCTGTATACGTATGTAACTGATTTACTAATTAACTACCTCTACCCCTTAACCCACCCAACCTGTCCTAAACGTACCCGTATCCAGCCTCAATAGCAGCTGAAGAAAACAAGTACATTGTACCTAACAATTAATTTTTTGTGACTTTACATAGCAGTTAAAGACACTAATATACAGAGTGTCCAAAATCTCTAATCAATAAACACAATATCAAAAATACGCAGTGACCAAACTCTTCAGGACTGAGAGCTTGTGCTGAATTTTAGCACGGTTAAAGCTGCGTCGGTGTTAAAAGAAAACATTTGTGTTTGAGAAACGTGTCACTGTTTGAAGAGTTTCGTTCAGCAAAATCAGTTTTAGCAAACCAGAACACAATGCTGCAGTTTTCAGGTGTGCGTGTGCTTAATTGCATGAACTCAGTAATCATGAAATCAGCCGTTAAATGAAAGTGTGAGTGAAGGTTGAGGAGTTTGCAGCACTTCTTTGTCTTCTTGAGTGAAGTCAGTGGCTGGAAACACACAGATTATTTGAAAGCTTTCATTGGCATGTCATTTAGCAGAACAACAGACAGAAGGTGTTCGGCGGGGACGCGTTCACACTTTGCCGTAGCATTAATTGCTCGATAAATCTGTCAGAAGTGGTGCGTGATCGACTGTATTTGTGTTTCTGGTAGAGGACGTGTTCAGTCATTAATTCGTACCGCAGGTAAGAAGAACCTCATCAAACCGTCTTAAAACGACACGCATTCCACGGGCTGCCGATCCTGACACATGTCTGATGTAAATCACCACACGTTCCTCCAAAACACCGCCGGAAATATAATCGGGAGGCTGCGCGGGAAACGCTCCCCGTCAAACTCCAGCGTCTGCCTTTTTTAAGTGCAGCAATTTGCATTTCCCTCCATCAGTGGCACTTTTCTGCTCGACTTCACGGGGGCTGCCGTTTATTTCGATTTGAGGGAGAAATGAAGGGAACGGCACGGCTAAAAGTAGAGAGAGAGAGGCGTCGCGAGAAAAACACAGGCCTGCCGCCTCAGACCAGTGTCCTCAATGAAAAGGAAATGACACCATGACAAGCTTCATCCAGGGCCGCGTGCAAATGGGCCGCTCTTAGTGCTATTTGTCCGTGTTGTGATTGGCAGGCGTCCCCTCCTCTGCGCCATCAGTGTTCGGCCTCCATTAGACACACAGAGGAATAATTGCCCTCCGGGTCACAGCGGCACGCTAACACTTACATCTGCTTCTGAACAGTCGTGCCATTCTTTCTGTGCCTGTTAAAATGTGTGCAAATGTGAGCCAAAACTAGCGGCTACGAGAGAGATCTGCCTCACGCTTCGCCTTCACACGCCGCTGGAGCAAAGACGACCGATTCCTGATCCTGAGACACAGACAGACAGACACACACACACACGGACACACACACACACACACACACACACACACACACACACACACACTCACTCACACACGCACACACACACACTCACTCACACACGGACACACACACACACACACACACACACACACACACACACACACACACGGACTCGCCATAGGTGTAATGGTTTATACTATACAAACTGTATTCTCTGTCGCCCTACACCAACATATAATGACAGCAGAGGAAAGGAGAAATAGTATTTCCTCTTTGTTTTTGTGTTTTTCAGAATCTTCAAGCTGTGTGCAGATTTAGCATTTGAATCCCATGTGCTCTGCATTATAATGTGTACACAGCTTTGGTATTCAGTGATGTTTTATGTTGTTCATGTATAGATCAGCACTCAGAAATCAGCCATGAAGGCAGCAGATCATGTCAGATATTGTTTGTCAGCACTGAGACTCGTTTGAATGGACTTACTGCTCTGATAAAGAGCACGGCGTCTCAGCTGCCAGGATGTTGTGACAGAAGATTCATGACAACAGAACAGAATCTGTATCAAACGCGTTCGTGGAGAGACGCCACCACCGCTCGTTCACGAGACACAAAGAGCTCAAACGCTCAAACGCTGACGATGACCTGTGACCTCAGGGGCGTTCGTTAATGAGATTACTGTACACCTGCTCCTTACAGCACACATTCCCACCCATCCTATCTGTAAGACTCATTAAGGAGAAGAGATTGATAATGCTCTGATAATGAAATGCCGTTAATAGAAGAATGTGCTTGGTTTAATTAAGGGCTGTGTAATGAATGCTTTTAGTCATGCTAAATGTTCAGCGCGCAGACCAACTGCGCTGCTATTTTTCATCTTTAACATGGAGATATTTCTCAGATCTTTTAGAAAGCACATAATGCATAAAGTATATATGAAATAAGAGCATAAAAATGTTAAACTCTGCAGCTGTAAGTCTAAGCAGAGCTGTATAAAGAGTGTTTGTGAAGGCCAGATTTCTCTCTCTCCGCTCACCTCTGAAAGCACTAGCGACGGCGCTCTTCCTCTTAAGCCCGAGCGATCGGCAGCGCTTCTTTCTTTGGCCTCCTGCCGTTCACGGCCAAATAAAGCACAGCTTTATAAAAGCCAGCGAAACAAAAAATAGCAGCGCGCTCGGCGGCTAAAAGCTGCATTTTCCTTTTCAACGTGTTTCTCATCAGTTCTTTTCATATCGCTGACTGACACAAATCCTATACGGCTACTTTTGTTTAACGAAGGGCATTAATGAAGAGCTCTCCAGCTACATACATCTTTATTCTGCTATTAGTGCGGCCGCTTGAAGCAGGAGCTGAAGGAGGGCGTCTGAGAGCCTTCAGAGTCCAGGCATTGAGAGGCACTTTCCCATCAATCAGGCCTTGTGTCCAGTAAGTGGCGCTTACATTTACATGAAATATTCATAAAGCATTCACCCGTGCTCTCCGGCGCTGTAATCATGGCCCTCCACCCCCTGAAATAGCTACAATCACGTCGACTTACGGGATGCATCCTCTTCATCCAGCGGCCGTCCCGCCGTGAGAAGAGCTTCAGGAGCGTCAGAGGTTCTGCTACGTGTCTGATGTTTCCATACGGCGACTGAACGATCAGCTCTACAGCAGTGACTGAGCAAAAACAACAGTATTCCTCACCACAGAACATCATCATAACAGAAGCAGCTCATGTTCTCATGTTAGAAGATTCGATCGTGATCCACATGTGTGCCTCAGGTCTGTTCTGATGAATAACACTAACCATATCATCATGAATATCAACAGAATACACAGACACACTTTAAAGGTAAAGAGAAACAGGTATCCCAAATCTTTTGTTGCTGATGTCAAAGATTGTGTATCAGATTAAACTCTAAGTCAGTAACTCTTTATTTGACAGCGTCCTTACATGGCCTTACAGGAAATTCTGCATAATTACAAGCAACGAACTGAAACCTAACCACATAGTAAATGCAAGTTGTTGATTTCTCAGTACTTATTTGTGTAATAACCCTGTAACGAGCACATCTTCAAATAAGGAGTAGCCAATTTTAAAGTGCTACAGTATGTTTCTATGATAGTGTTATAATAGTGTTTCTGTTTACACTGGCGACCAACAAAAGATACATATTTACAATAGTGTAATTACTTAAAGTGTATCCTTAGTCACTTGGTCTAATAAAATTATTGACAACACTTTACAATAAGGTCTCATTTGTGAACATT